GGCTCTGCTGGGCCCCCAGGGCTTGAGCTCCCCCAAGAACCGGGGCGCAGCACCGATGCGGCCGGTGACACCCCGCTGCCAAGCCGCCGCCCCAGCGCACGGGGCTCGGCGGAGGCACGGACGCGTCCGCACGGCAGGAAGGACCGCGAGGACGCTGGGGAAGCCCCCGGCCCGGGCCTTCGCGCGCTCGCCTGGTGTCGGTGAGGGGCGCACGGGCTCCTCCCTGCACGTGCCCGCCCGCCGCAGCGCGCAGCCGCTCCTCGGCAAAGACGGCAGGGCCAATGTTGCACCTCGGTTCTCTTCCAGAAAACGCTGCACATTTACTCCGTGGAGCTCGATGGAGCCAAGGACGCCAAGAAGACGGGCCAGGAGGATGACAAGAAGCACAACGACGTGGATCTCAAAAAGAGTCATCAGAAAGAGGAGCTGAAGAAGGAGCTTGATCTGGTCAGTAGTCTTCGGGCCGAGGTGTCCCCGTGAGCTCGCCCCTGTAGCCTGCCTATTAGAAGGAAGAGCTGTCTGGAGGGTGTGTTTCACCGTTTTTCAAAAAGCGTGGAGTGATAATCTGGCCGTCAGCCGGTGCTCTGCAGGGCGCCCGTGCTCTGCTTGGAAGCGGTCCTGGGTGCAGAGCAGGGACAGTCTCAGGTTCTCAGCCCCACGGGCACCGTGCGGTGCTCTCTGCTCTTTCCCTCTCCTGGCCACGTTAAGGAGCTAGAAGCAACCACCTGCCAGTTTTCCGTTCATGAGTAAAACGAGTTGAACTGCAGCCTCCCAGGAGAACAACCAGAGCCCCGGCCCTGCTAGGTTTGGAGGGTGTGCCCCTGAGAGGGAAGAGCCCCGTGGGAAGAATGCCGGGCCTGGCTTCCACAGCCCTTGGCTCAGTTCATGTCTTACTCCACGGATTGAGCAAGTGAGCTAACTGCACGGAAGTGTCATTACCTTCATGTAAAGTAGGAAATAAATTTACAGAGTCTGTGAGAGGAAAAATGAGATGAGTACTTTGTAATTAATGCGCTTTTAAGACTGCGGTAGTATCAAGGAAGAACTTTGGAATTCTTTAAGCCACCCACTCTGCCAGAGCCTTAGCCTGGATGGAAACCGCGACAGATTTCATCTCCTGAATGCCACAGGGAAAACGTCCACAGGGAGCTAAGACTCTGCTAGAAGGGCCCTGCGGTCCCAGGTGCACATTAGAGCCTGTGATTGCTGGGTGGCTGCTGGGCTGATGCAGCCATTTCACTCCCTGGGGCTACTGGGTAGCTGATGGTTTAACAGCTAGGATTTGGCTAGCTGGCCCTGGTCCTGAAATTTGGCTCTGGTAAATGCTACAAACCAGAGCTGTTTATCTTTCCTGGAAAGCTAATTAAACAGAGTAGCACTTGATTTGCATTCATTCGTTTATTCTGATAAGACATTTACAACATTAGAAGAATGAGAATGGGAAGGGGAGGGGGAGGAGAAGAAGAAGAGAAAGAAAGAAAAGAAAGAGAGAGAGAGAGAGAGAGAGAGAGAGAGAGAGAGAGAGAGAGAGAGAGAGAAAAGGAAGAGAAGGAAGGAAAGGAAGGAAGAAGAAACCAGCCCTAAAGATAGACTAGCCTGAATTTAATCAAATCCCAGTGTGGCTGACCCTCTGTTTCCTATTTCAAAAAATAGGAATTAGAAATAGACCCTATTTCTTAGGGCTGTCAAGAGGGTTAGCTGAGATACAGTGGAACAAAGAACACCACCCGGTAATAAATAATCAGATTTCTTACGTAACTCTAGCACTTAAGATTGAAGGTGTATCTGTTCTTTCCTGAAACTGCTACTTACATGAAACTTCTGTTTATATACCTATTCCATCATGTGCCTGTTGATTATGATAAGATCTCTCTCCTTTGAGCGCTTTGTGAAGATACATAGACAAATCATTTCCATAATATTAACTAAAGTATTTTTACGTTTCTTTGTTAAGAAGGAAACATTTTGCTTTCCTCATCTTTCTCAAGCCTCTCACAAGAATCCTAGAATTTGTCACATGGTACTGGAATGTTTTTGCACCCTGACCTTTGGGCATATTAGACCCTTGGTCACTAAAAGTATCCTTGCCTTCTCTGTATATCTACCACTCTGTATCTCTCTATATATACCTCTGTATATCACTATATATCTCTGTACTGCTGTATATCTCTGCATCTCTGTATATTTGTGTATATATATATATATATATAACTATATATCTATATACCTATCTCTGCATATCTGTATATCTCTATATATCTGTATACCTCTGTATAACTCTATATCTCTAATATCTCTGTATGTCTCTATATCTCTATATATCATATCTGTATATCTCTGTATAACTGTATATCTGTGTATCTCTGTATATCTATGTATCTCTATATATCTCTATATGTGTGTATATTTCTATATCTGTATATCTCTGTATATCTGTATAACTCTGTATGTCTCTATATACCTCTATATCTCTGTATATCTGTATACCTCTATATCTCTCTATCTCTCTATATCTCTGTATATCTTTATATCAGTATATCTCTGTATATCCACCACTCTGGGACCTGCCTTGTGCTATTCCAGTTTTGAACAGCAGAAAGTGCGCAACACGTCAACTATCTCATCCCACCCCTTCTCGTGTGTCTGGCGTCCGGGCTCCAGGGACCTCACAGCAGGGACTTTAAAAGTCTGAGGTCCAGCCATCAAATGATTTCTTCACTCATCCACTGTTGTATCTGCCCGAACTTACTACACTGTACTCTACACAGAACTCTGCCTGAACCCTCTGGATCCTTGGCAGTGTCACATTCAGCTGATGTTGGTGGACTGGATGAATGAGAAAAACCAGAATCTGGCTGAGAAGAGGGCTAAATGCAACCCAGTCTTAATGCAACATGAAACTTTTCTGGATATACTTAAAATACGTGGCTTTGGTCGCAGTCACAGGATAAATCTGTGTTTCAGATGATCAGGGCTTAAATAATCCTGGGTGCTGGGCTTGCTAATGGCTGAGGAAGACTTTCTCTAGGTTTTCTGCTACAAGAAGAGGCTTCCAGTCCTTTCGCCCAGAGGTTCTCAAAGGGAGAAGAGGGAAAGAATTCTCCCTGCCCCACCCAGGGGATGTCAAGGAACGATTTTGGTCATCACAACCCAGAACTAGTGTGGTAGGAGGTGGAGACCCCAAAACCAAGAATTGTTGGCCTGGAGCGTCAGTAGTGTAGTGGGTGAGAACTGTGCTTCAGTCTTCTAAGTCTGTGGTAAATTCAGCAAGTGTGGGCCATACTGGTGCGTGCTTATTGGCAAGCTTTTAATCTGTGAGACTTCTCTAACCAGTGAGCTGCTTGAGTTTCATGACTGGAATCAGGGGAGTCATGCTTCTTCCTTCCTGAGATCCCCCCAGAGGGAGCCACTGTGCAAACATAGGACTGGGTATACTTGTGGTTTGATCATCACCCTCAGCCAGTTCCAGGATCCAGGTCTGAATGAATTATCCAGCACTCGCACCTGGCAGATAAGGACACCAGGACTTGCATGTGCTGGAGAGCAGGGTGAAGGAGGAGGTGCTGCTTTGTTCATAAAGCTGAAGACAGCTCACCCTGCGTCAGTGGCAAGTGCAGTGCGAATGCTCAAGGGGGCTGTGACCAGGATAAGGCTGTCCCGCAGTGTCTTCCTGGCTGCACAGCCGGTCTTTTCTCTCCTCTTCCTCACATTTTCTGCCCTCCCCCGCAGTGTTCAGTGCCTCTCCCAGCTTCCAGGGTGGTAAGAGATTGGAGGTCAGATCTTTTGTAATGACCTAATCCATTGTTCTCTTTCCTTCCTGGACTTCAGGAGGATCACAGACTCACCAGTGAGGAACTGGAACAGAAATATGGCACAAACATCATCAGAGTAAGTCATCAGGGAACTGAGGATCAGGGAGAGACACCTCCTGGCCCTACAAAAGGGAAGGCTGTGCACCTCAAGTGTGTAGGAAAGTAAAGGTATCCTCAAGGATGAGGGCACCTGTGAGGGTGCCCATGGACCCCAGTCTGGGTTGAGAAAGGGCCAGTTGGCCTCCTGGAGCCTGACCCACGCTCTTTGTGAGCTGGAAAGATGCTTGGGCATAGAAAATCTTTTTCCTGTGAACGAGGGGGAGCTGTGGTGTCCCTAGAAAGATATAGGTGCTTCCTCCTGTCTTCAGAAGTATAATGGTCCGTGGCGTTCTTCCTGTCAGAGACGGGAGGCTGTGTTAGAAAGTGAGGGCCCCGAGTGACCAGAGGACAGCCCTTGAGGCTCGCTGCTGTGCCTTCCAGCATCTTAAGGTTCCCCTGCCACAGAAGCACTGCTTCCTCCTGTGAATTCAGATCCAAGTTCAATTTCTAAAGTTTGGATGTCTCAGCATCTGAATGTTTCAAGTTAACAAAAGTACTTACCATGTGGTTCACACTGGGTTGGCAGTGAAAGACAAAGGGAGACAGTAACCCTGGCCTTAAGGAGGTAGGTGCGTAAAGTGTAATGTCCACTCTATGCTGTTTGGGTGGCCTGTGAGATGTTGCAACTCTACACAGAGAGATCCATGAATTATGACCCAAGGAAGCAGTGTAGGCTGCTGGGATGCTGCAGTGTTTGAACTGAGACTCAGGATGATTTAGATCTATGGAGTACCAGGGACCAGAACCTAACTAATTCCTGTTTGTTTCTATGTATGTGTTTTTCTTGGCTTTTTCAGGGTCTCTCCAGTGCTAGAGCTGCTGAGCTCCTGGCTCGCGATGGGCCCAATGCCCTCAGCCCTCCCAAGCAGACGCCAGAGATTATCAAGTTCCTCAGGCAGATGATTGGGGGCTTCTCCATCCTTCTGTGGATAGGAGCCATCCTGTGCTGGATTGCGTATGGGGCTCAGTATGTCAGCGATAAGTCTACATCCCTTGACAATGTAAGCCCCCTTCCAGCCATCAGCCGGCACAGTGCTGGGGTGGAGACTGGATGCTGCCACAGCAGTCCCTGCAGGGGATGAGAGAATCACTAATTCTTCCCACTGTAAAACAAACGCTGTCTGACCTTGCAGTGCCTCAGAAGCAATATGAGCACCAATTTTAAGAAGCAAAACACCTTGAGTTCTTACAGGAAAAATAATTTACATGCATGTGAAATATTTCGAGGCTCTCTCCCCACAAAGCTACCCTCTCCTTTTCCCAGAAAGGACAACTAACCTGAACGCGAAACCTACAAAACTGAGTTGTCCAGCCCCACACTAAGAGAAAGAAACCAGATACAAAAGGCCATGTGTTGTATGAGGCCACTGATGAAAACTGTGTAGACATTCCCGGACCCAGGCCACACTGGTGGGGCAGGCTGGGGACAGGAGTGGGGAGTGGCTACCAGGGACGTGATGACCCAGAAGTGTTCCCACGTTCAGACTGTGCATTGTTTTGGAGTATTTGCATATACATAATGAGATATCTTGGGGGTGGCACCTAAGTGTAGACACAGAATTTGTTTACGTTTCCTATATGCCTATTCACAGCCAGAAGGTAAATTTTTGTAGTAATTTTCAGTGTGTCTGTGTTTCGACATGGGGTCAAGTATGGAATTTTCCAGTTTGGCATCTTGTTGGAACTCAAAAAGTTTCAGATTTTGGAGCATTTCAGACTTTGGAATTTTGGATGTGGGATGCTAAAGATGTACCTGTTTCTTACTGTTGCCCCTGTCCCTCACACAGGTGTACTTGGGTGTGGTGCTTGCCCTGGTTGTGATTCTAACAGGGATCTTTGCTTATTATCAAGAGGCCAAAAGTACCAACATCATGGCCAGCTTCAGTAAGATGATCCCCCAGGTGAGTAGCAGCCACTCTTCCTCTGGTCCCTGTGTGAATTCCAGGTGAGGAAGTGTCTCTGACCCCTGCCCTGGGCTGTCCGGGACATCTTCGGTGCGTTGCTTCATCTCTCTGAACGCCAGCTCCTCTCAGGGTTTGAGATGGTTAACTGAAGTGAGAGCCAAGGAAATGCATAGTCAGTGAAAACAGGACAGAACCTAGTTATTGCACATCTTCTGGACTATTTGGACCGTCAGTTCAGGTGGTCCTAGAACATTCCTTCCCTGGCTCTCCAGGGAGAACTACCTATGCTTTTTTATTTGTGACTGCTTTTGCTTTCAGAGCATGTAGCTCTAGGGAGACCAAAATGCTCTAGGGGGACCCAGTTGTCCCTTCTCCCCCAGGAACCCCTTTTAAGGATCCCCCCTGGCCGTGGCCCTGGCCTTAGCCTTGGCCTGGCCCAAAGCTGGTGGCTGGGTGGAAAAGACATCTGCTATTGTGCTAAAAAGAAGGACAGCACCTCATTAAAGTCCCACACACCTCATCAAGATTATTAGACCTTGAGAACCAACCCTTAGCATTTCTCCTGGACATAGTTGAGGGCTTCACCCTTAAGGTCCAGCATGTTCTCTTGCCTTATTCACCCAACCGCAGCCTTTTCTCATTGAAAAACAGAGCTAAAGGGAAAAATGTCGTTCTCAGAGTCTCCAGGCCTCCGGTGGAACAGCCTGTGTCTCATTCTGACTGCCATAGGGTCGCTTACCACCCCCGGCAGCAGTCCTTTGCCCCTCAGCTCCGTGTTTTCCTGCAGGAAGCTCTTGTCATTCGTGACGCAGAAAAGAAGGTCATCCCCGCAGAGCAGCTGGTGGTGGGGGACATAGTGGAGATTAAAGGAGGAGACCAGATCCCTGCGGACATCAGGCTGCTGTCTTCCCAGGGGTGCAAGGTGAGCTTTAGGGGTCCCTATCCTCAGGGGAAGGGGGTGTACTTTTCTTTCCCAGTGTCAATAGAAGAGGCAGAGAACAAGATGGCTGCTTTTGAACTGTTTCAAAATTTCCTCCAGGTGGATAATTCCTCCCTCACTGGGGAATCTGAGCCCCAGCCTCGCTCAAGTGAGTTTACCCACGAAAACCCCCTGGAAACAAAGAACATTGCCTTTTACTCCACAACCTGTCTGGAAGGTAAGGCCAGCTGTTTCTCAGGCCCGCACGCCCCACTGGGACCCCTTCTCCTTCTGGGGCATGATGTTTTTGCTTATTACGGAGCTTTTCCCATAGGAAACATAGGATTGAGGGCCCAGAGGACTGACGTTGGCCTTTGTAATGTCGTATGCTCACCAATCCCGTCAGCCTGCAGAGTGCTCTGGCAGGACCCGTGGAGTAAAACGTCTGCTTCCCCTGTAGGCACTGCAGCCGGCATGGTCATCAACACGGGTGACCGCACCATCATTGGTCGCATAGCCTCCTTGGCCTCAGGGGTTGGAAATGAGAAGACGCCCATTGCCATTGAGATTGAGCACTTTGTGCATATTGTGGCCGGAGTGGCCGTCTCCATCGGCGTCCTTTTCTTCATCATCGCCGTGTCCTTGAAGTACCGTGTTCTGGACTCCATCATCTTCCTCATTGGCATCATTGTGGCAAATGTGCCGGAGGGCCTCCTGGCCACTGTCACTGTGAGTCCACTCTGTCACGCGGCCTGCATGCAACGCTGCTGCTGGGAGGCAGCCCCGGGCAAGCCCAAGTCTCCTCCGCTGGCAGGTTCCCCCAGGCCCACCCTGCCACAATTCTGAAGATTGTGTCTTAGAGGCCTTGACAAAAGAAATTGTGATATTTTTTAACATTTAAATATGCTGTCCTTGAAAACTGTACATTTTCCATAGATCTTTTTGCAAGTCACATGGATTACTTTGCTCCCTAAAGATCTACAGAAGATAGACTGGAACTAGTATTTACATATTTTTCTAGAAACCTAATGTCTTGTTTGTTCATTTGTTTGTTTTGGCACTGGAAATCTGGCCTTCACACTGAGCTACATCTCCAGCTCATTTTTATTATTTATTGAGAAATGGGTCTCTCTAAGTCACTAAGTTGCCCAGGCTGGGTTGGGTTTGAACTTGTGGTCCTCCTGCCTCAGCCTCCCAGAGTTCTGGGATTACAGGTGTGCACCACACCTGGCTCACATTTCTATTTTTTAAAAAAAGCCAACCATGGTGTCCCATAATCCCAGCACACTGGAAAGATGAGGCAAGAGGATTGCAAGTTTGAGTCCCACTTGGGGAACTTAGCAAGACCTGTCTCAGAAAAGAGCTGGGAGTGTAGCCCTGTGTTCAATCCCAGTCACAATATCTCTCTCTCTCTCTCTCTCTCTCTCTCTCTCTCTCTCTCTCTCTCTCTC